TCTGAGACATGTGATTTCCAAATGAGGTTAGAAAGTCGGCCTGCTATCAATAAGCATTGCTCCATCTACACTATTAGATGCAGGACCACTTCCTAGTGAGAAACACTTTCATGCAGGAAGGACAGTACTGAATGCAGTCAAGAACTCAGGAAGCTGGGGAGGGAAGGCACTAAGACTTGAGATCCACTCTCAGGCACAGAAAAGAAAGGTACCACTGAACAAGGATCTCAGAAATAGGACAACAAGAATTTCAAGGTTCCAGATCCTTCACCTGGATCTTTGTCATTGCCTTCTTTTTGCTTCTCTTTTTTTTAAATAGTTATCTGTAGGAAAATGAATGCCCCTTGGAACCTTAATGTTAAGTGAAATAAATTGACATGCAACTTAAATATCACATGACTTTTCTTGTTACAGGCAGCTAAGTTAGATAAAATGTTAGAGGCAGTCAGGGATTGGCCCTTGAGAAGCCAGTGCAGAAGATGAGATGCCTTACAACTGTAGGAGAGATAGATACCCCCACTGTGGGCCAGACCTCAAGGTAAAAGATTACACAAACACACTCACATACCTCCTGAGGATAAACATCAGGGCTTGATATTCTAAATAGGTGTCAATCACCTGGAGAAAGCCAGGAAGAACCTCTAACCCAACTCCCTATAGGAAAAGCCCCTGTTCTGCATTCATGACTGCTTTCTCTGTGACTTGCTCCCTGATTTGATTCCAATTTAGTCCATTTTACCTGAGCAGTTATACTCATAATCTTATTGGTTGACCATAATTTTGTCCCATAGTTTTGTCACGTTCACCTTGGGATTTTCCATTTTTCTCACCTTGGACCTGCCTCAGGTCATGGATTTGCTTTATAAAGATCCCTAGAAAAGACAGGGTCCTTGGCAACCCACTTGGGACCCCTTCTGTCTCTCTGTCTGAAAAACTTTTTTGCCTCCAATAAATATATTCTGCTCTTAACCTCCATTTTTCCTAAAATTGGTTCTTTGATTTTAGAGAATACAAACTCATTGGACATCTAGCAGGTTGAGAATTTCTTTCCCCTATGTCACTCTTGTATGAGAAACCAAAAATATAAAGAGCAAAATAAAAGATACATAATAGCAAGTAAGGAGATAGAGCTTTTTCAAATGAAAAGGGGATTGAAAAATGAAGGAAAGGAGGAAAGGGGATGAGAAAAGAATTGTGATGTACAAACTCCACACAAAGAATGTAATCATTATGTACTACAAACACTTCCTATTAAAAAATAAAAACTGAAAAAATATTTTAAAAAGTTAAGAAGGCCCTGAATGCTTAGTTGGAGAGATGAAAGAAAGAGGAGGAGGCAAATTATTCAGCAGTATCTACAAGGATACCACCTGGATTAATCTAGGTACAGAATTGCTTGTGTGTACATAAACCATCTCCACAAAGACACACATCCTCTGCAAAGACGTACATCCTCCATGAAGACATATATCCTCCATGAAGACATATACATCCTCTACAAAGACACATATCCTCTGCAAAGAATGAAAACTGGTGACTGCAAGGAAGAAAACTGAGAGGCTGGGGGAAGTGGAGAAACTCATTTTTTACTTTATTGTTGTGTTTCTCTGGAACATTGTGATGCTATATATATTTTTTCCAAAATAAAAAATAGGGGGGCTGGGGATTTAGCTCAGCGGCAAAAGCGCCTGCTTGGCAAGCGCAAGGTCGTGAGTTCGGTTCCTGGTACCAGAGAAAAACCAAAAAAAAAAACCAAAAAAGAAAAAAAAAATAGGGAAAGGACAACATAGAAATGCATATTTTTATACAAACTGTTCTATGTGGATCCGCAAAACATAAAGTCAGAAAGCTCCCTGGGAACTGCAGACAGAGAGAATGAGGTGTGTGGGTAGCTGGAGTCAGGACTACCCTGCATCTGGAGTTAAGCGGTGACAGACCTGGCTGTTTCCACAAAACACTGCAGAACTCTCTTTCCAATCAACTATGATAGTGCAACTTGACCAGCATTCCTTAAATTTACCATTCCCATGGCATGGCCCCAGTCGGACAAATTCAATGAATGGTTTTTGAACCACAGGTCGTTCGAATGGTGGATGGGCCCCAAATTACAGTTGTATTTTTAGAGTCCTTCACATGATTCTAACATGCAGCCAGAGTTGAGGACATTGCCTTAATCTGAAAGCAGCACTGAGTTCAGAAGTCTAGGTGGTGTGAGGCGACACTGCTGCTTTCAGGACTCAGTGTGTGGAGAAGAGGTAGGCACTTCAAGTTCAGCCTGAGCTTCTGCGGAGAACCTTTCTCAGTGAAGTCGAAGGGGAAGTTCTGAAGAGAACTGGGACCTCACACTGACAGCCAAACGGTGTCCTTGTGAAACGCACATTGGATTCTGAATCCAAATTCTAAGTAAAATTTTAGTTTAAGAAAGACACATAGACCAAGCTTAAATCTATCGTGAAAATGTATACATCTAACGCATGGGAGCCACACCACTTCTAAAAATTATTTTAATACGCTTCTGGACAAAAGATGAGTGAGCCAGGCTGAGTGAAATAGAAAGCTTAGTGATGGAGAAGTTGTCCATTCTCTAGAATCTTCTTTGTGGAACACTGTGGTGAAAGGCAAGAAGGAAATCCGCGTGGGCTGTCCTGCTGTGTACGTCACTTGTACCCACAGCTTGAGTTTCTCCGCCTTCCCTACTGAAGGGAGGTGCTCCGTGGGCGCCTCTCCTCTCCCTGATTCTCTCACCTCACGGTTAGCAGTACAGGATTTGGGGGCAGTTGGCAGGCTTTGCGTTCAGCTCTGATGCTCACCTGCTGTGTGTGTGGCCCTGGCCAAGTTTCTTAAACTCCTAAGCTTTAGTTTCTTCATCTATAAAATTGGGATAATAATACCTATTTTATAGTAGTGCTGTGAGAATGTAATGAGAAATGCACATGAAACAGTGCTTATAAAACAGTACCTGGTAAAGTTAAATAAATGTTACTTATGACTGCAGGGGTTATTGCATGTACTGATGCACAAGGTCCACAGAGTAAAAGACCATCCACCCCCACCCCCTTGGGTTAAACTGTGGCCCAGAGGGATTACGTGACTTGTTCATTGCTGTACTTTCTGTGTTTGGGCCTTGGAACATGAAAGTGTGTCCTAGAAATGCTATTCAACTACCAAGACACAGTCTGAGCAGCACACAGTAGCTGGTCTTTGAATGTGGCAAAATTAAGCAACCTAGAAGGTGCACCCAACACTAAGTTTAAAATAAGTCTAATTACTCTTTAGGAAGAACAGAACAAAACTTAATCAAAGGTACATTTAAATAGACACTGCACAAGTGAAAGGCCTAAAAAGGAAGTAGTCCAAAAACAAAAGGCATACTTTCCACTTACACTGACCTGAAATAAAATTCCAGAGAGAGAGAGGGAGAGTCTCACTGTATAACCCAAGCTGCCTTGAATTCACAGTGCTCCTCCAGCCTCAGCCTCCTGAGTGTGGGATTACAGGTGTGCGCCATCATGCCCAGCATAAAATTACAAATATTTGATTTATTTAACTTTATTCCCTTTTTAGGTGCTGGAGCTAGTTTCCCTTAATGGTCTTATGTTTAGCATTTGACAGTTAGGACTTGTTCCACCTTAAACTTCCTTGATGCCCTCTTCCCAAGGACAGTGATATCCCATCAGGAATTTTCAGGCTAATTGGAAAGGATGGGGATACATGGTCATTACCCCCATTCCAGCCTGCACCAGTCATCCATTGCCCAGTCTGTGACCTTGCTCAGGTCAGTCAGCTTCTCATTATTTTAAGCTTTTTCATCATTAAAATGTGGAGCTTGAACCCCAGGCTCTCTAAGGTCTCTTGTAAGTATGGGGAGACGACACAGGTGATTAAAAACTTGGATATTGAAACCACACCTCCACTGGTGGCATCCCAGCTCCACATCTCACCAGCTTTGTAACCTTGGATGGATCAGTCCGCCTCTTGGCTTTAGTTTCTTAATCACTGAAGCAAGATGCTAACAGTGCCACCTCACAGAGGTGCCGGGAGGCCTGAACAAATGAATGCCAAACGTACATCACATAGTTAATGCTCAGTACATAGGAGCTATTATTTAAAATTCTGTAATGACATGAAGGGAACCTATTTTAGCAACTAGAATTATTCCTCTGGGAGAGACCTCTCTTGGGAGGCGAGAGACCCTTGAACAGGTAAGTCTACAGGACACAGGTTGAGGTGAACAGTTTATAGTCTGTATTCTTGAGCCCAGAGGGTACAGGGAGAAGTCTTCTAGCTCCAAAATCCTATTTTCTTAATTCTGTCCCGGCTCCTCTGTTAGCTGGATTTCTGAAATCTCTTTAAGAGGCCTAGGAGAATGCCATGTTTTGACCCCAAATGTTTGTAATGCTCTGACAGAATGACTTATTTTACCACTGCTTTGCCAAAAGAATCAGGTCATTTAGCAGTAAAATCAAAGAAGTTTAAAAACCATGGAACCAGCTCAGCCAACATGTTACACAAATGTATAGTTGTTTTCTCTCTGTGTGTGTTCATTCATTCATGTACAAGTATTTGCTGCTGATCGTCCCCCGTGTGCCAGGCACTACTGCATTTTGTGTCCTGGGGGAAAGAAAAGCAGCGAGCAAGAAACAGTCCCTGTTGTGAGGAACCGCACGTTGACTGAGGGAGACAAATCACCTATGGTAGCACAGGCAGAAAAGTAGAGCAGGATAAAAGGGAAGAATGGAACGTGGGGGTGAAGTTGCTAGGTAGTCAGAGGAGTCCCTAAGGAAAGAACCGACACTCGGACAATAGGAATGAGCTATTGCGGGCAGAAGTAACACCAAGTGTGAGGCTCTGGGGCCATGCTGGAAACAGCAGAGGAAACCAGTGTCAGCAACAGACTGATGGGAGGGGAGGAAGGTGTGGCTGGTCACGTGGAGCTCGTATGAGGGCCAAGAACTCAAGCTTTCACTTTTACTATAACAGGGAGACATTGGGGGGATTAATCCAGGTAGTAATAAAATCTGACTTGTATTTTAAAAGATTCTTGCTCCTGTGTGGAAAGTAGACTGCAGAAAAGTGTGAGGCTAACACAGGGAATTCAGGAGCCATTGGAGCTGGGCAGGTGGGATGGGCAGCTGGAGCAGGCTGGGAGTGAGGAGGGCTTCAATGTGGGATGTACTTTGGTTACGACATCTCCTGTCTACTAAGAAGACAGCTGGGGACATGCCATGTTTGTGATGGCTGTTAGACATCCACACAGATGTATCGAAAGGTGATTTTGTCATTCTTGCCTTCAGGAGCTACGGATGTAAAGGAATCGTTAGTGTACAGGTATAGTTAGACCTCTAATGTTAATTGGGCCCCATAGGGAAAGGGACAGATGGAGAGGGGACAGCTTCCCACACTTAGATCACCTAGAGTTAGGGAAGAGAAGGTGGAGGAGGTCCTAGGGGGAGGGAGAGAGCTCAGAGAACAGGAGAGTGAGTCCTGTGGCCAAGGGAGGGCGTGCTGCAAGACAAGGCAGTGACCAGCACCCACAATGCTTCGGGGAGATGCAGGAACTGAGCTGAGTCAGCTGTGTACACCTGCCAGGCCCTGGGCCGCGTTTAGGGTGCTCACCTGCTGCCCACTCCAGCTTTGCGCGGGGTTCACTTTGCGCAGGAACTATTGTCTCACCGTGTCCTAACAAGGTAAAGAATCTGATCAGATGAACTGAGCTCACTCCAATCAATTATCTACAGTTTACTTAGAGTTAAGCATTTTTTAATACCACAATTACAAAATCCATCTCTGCGTGGTGGGGTTTTGGTGTTAACTCCAGCCCCTCCCTCTGCGGCAGTCTGTAGGAATCGCACCTAACTTATCTGGGCCCTCTTAGCTGTTCTGGGTTTTGAGTGTGTGTTGATCTTTTTCTGTGTCCCATGACAGTTTATATGAGAATGGCCACAGCTGTGCTGATGTATTCATTACAAAGAATTCTCACTCTGTGTTCAGGAGTCTAAAATCTACTGTTCAGGTTCTGCCCTCGCTGGGTGTCCTCATTCTTGTTCCCCGTTTGCTTCTTCACAGACTCATGCAGCGCCAAAACCTCAGGAGGTTTGCTTACTTCGCACGCTCTTTGCATAGCTGGCCTGCTGCCTCCCTCCACCGGCTTCTCTCTCCCTGCTGTGTGATGGTCAGAGGGCCTACAGAGCCTACCTGATTTTTGGCAGGGAAAGAACAACTTCTAAAGCAAGTTGCTATGGTTACCAAGTCTTCCCCACTGCACAGCAGCTACTGACTTCATGAGACTTTTTTGTGTTGCTCTATCAGACATTCTCCTTGGGTGCAGCGGCTTGGGCTTTTGATATTTAATCATTTCATGCCCACTTCTGCGTGGGTTCCATAGAGTGAAGAGCACAGGGACTCTATTATCGGGAACATATACATACACCCACACATCTCTACGTGCATATTTCAAGTTTGACATGCCTGAAAGCACAGATGTTTTTCGAGTAGGATTTCATACACTAAAGCTGTGTTAGAAGATTTTCTGCAATGATAGCAGATTGTATATGGAATCGTTTTATACATTCCAGAGGTGTTTGTTTCTGTTTCCAGACACAAATTATGTGTGTGGAAAATTTCCCCAATTCTTTTCTGAGTAATTAGCTATTTTCTATCTCTAGGAGAAAAAAATAAACTAGAAGTTGATTGTGGATGAAATGATTCATTTGCAAGCATTTTCCAAAGTTAATGTTTCAAATCAGACCCATTGTTGAGTTTTTGCTATTGTTTGTGCATGATTGTAATTGCTAGAAATGATGACATTTGGGGCCTAATTGAGTTCCTGTCTTAACTGATGGGCACAAATATTCTAAGTAGGAATGTGAAAGACTACTATAGTGGGTGACACACATTAAATGAACATTGTGTAGCCTGCTCCTCACCCAGCACTAAGGAGACACACACTGATCACAAACCAGAACTGCAGCTAGTTCAGCGTTTCCATGCACGCAAGGTGATGGAGATTAGCACAATCCTGTCTCTCCCTTCTCTCACCGTCTAATCTCCCTCCTCTTTTGTCCTTCCTGGCCACCTCCCTGGCCAGGTCCCTAGTGTTCCTGGGAGTGAAGAGGCCTCAGCCAATGCCCATCCTATTTTCTGGACAGAGGTTCTGCTTGCTTCTTCCTCTGGCTGCAGGCCTGACATGGGGCTATTGGTGGTGACACTGGCTCTTTGACTGGGGTCAGTTCCTCTGTATGAAGGTACTGATGCTAACAAATGACTAAACTCAAAGAAAAAAGGCCTTTTTTCTGTCGCCGCCTCTGAAATGTGCCAGGATGGGCAGCCTGTAGTGAAGGGATCTGCTGGAAGACTGCATAAACTAAAGCACGCTCATGTCACTTGGAAGGTGGACACTGAGTAGGATGGCACCTGTGTCTCTCTCTTCCACAGGGCGGGGCTTCTGGGCCTGCTAGGGCTTCTGTCAGCTGTTTCTCACTGTGGAGTTGACAAACATAGGTATGGCACTGAACTTCTAGGCAGATTTCTCCAAAGGCAAACCCAAGTTAGAGCAACCACCAGGAACAGGAGAGGAGGTGCCAGCCCAGGCCAGCACCCTGAAAGCTGTGTACCTCCTCAGTCTGTGTCACCCCTCCCTTCCAGCCCACTCACCACCATGGAAGGGCTGACCCTCTTTTGATCCTTTGTTGTGTCTCCCATCAAAGCAGCCCGCTCTCTTTATACCAGGCTATGAGCAGCTAGGTCCAAATTGCCTGCCACAGCTCCCTCGCCAGTGTGAGACACAGATGTCAAAGTACTTTAAGCTTCCTGGAAGAAGAGGAGGGAAAGAATGAAATATTCTCTCAAACTCTTACTTCTGTCTCCTCCATCCAAGAAGAACATCAGGCTCTGTTCTGCTCTCCCTCTTTGCCTGTGATAGGGAAAGAGAGACTCCATTTTCTGTTTTTAACTCCCTAATAAGAGAAGCCACTTACAGTTCACGTAAGCTGTAGGTGACTCCCACTCCTCACGCCTTCCCCTTAGTTGTCAACCCATTTAAAGGGGAGCAGAGTCATAACATGGAAGCAGAATAAACAGGGCAAATTGGGAAGGAAGCTAAAAGTTAAACTGTAGTGGTCATTTGGAATCTGGGTGTCCAAGAGCTCCTGAGAAGGTAAACTATGCATTCTTGTAAGATTCCCAAAAATGAGGTAATGGTTACTATGGAAACCTAAAATGTACTTAAACTGAGGGTGAGACCCAGATCAGGGCAAACATCTTCTCTGGCTCTTGGTTAGAGACGTCCGTCAGCCAGCTCAATAAAGCTTCGTTCCTGCTCTTTGGGTCGCTTGTGAATGCAGTTCTTGATGAACTCACTTGCCGTATCACCTGAAGTCTGGAAACTCCAAGCCATTTGCTGTATCTAATTCTATGATGCCCCTCAAATATTTTGCTTCTTCTAGAGCTCACTGTCCTGGGTTGCCTGGGTCTCCATGTCTGAAACCCACGGTTTCACATACCTGCTCTGTTTTTGTAGTTGTTGAGGGCAGGAGGGTAAGTTGTCCCTTCTTAGTCCACATGGCCACAAGTGATATCCTTTCTATGAAACTTTCCAGTAGCCTCTAAGACCTGATGTTCTCTTGCTTTGTCTCTAGCTTTCTGGAAGCTCCACTTGGTCTTTGCCTGTCCTTCTTCTTCACCCAGACAGGGCTCCTCCACCCTCCCAGCCTCTTTTTCTCTCCTCCCACTCTGTAACTTCCTGGGTGAACTTGGCCATGCCCTAGGCTTTGGTAACCACCTCTGTCACAATGAGATTTCTAGCTAGTGCTCCTGTCACTGATACCTGACTACACAACTTTGCTGCTTACTGACTGAAATGTCCCCATACACCCAATGTCTCGGGTGTCTCTAAATGCCTCTTAAGTACATCTCAGTGTATCCATTGTCTTTCCCCAGACTTAATCGTCTTCTGACTACATGACCAGTGATGAAGCCAAAGTCTACCCGTATCCCTTGATACTTCTTTCTCCCTTACCTGAATATAAATCTACCAGCATATCTTCCTGACGATTCTTCAAAAAAATCTCTGATATGTTCCCTTCACAGTCTCTTTCTAATTTGTTCTCTGCCACAGCCAATAGTGAGTTATCAAAATGCAAATCTGATTATTTCATGTGACTATTGCAAATACTGTGAAGACTGTGTTAGTCCGCCTCACCTCGCCCCTCTCCATGTTCAACGTACTGCCCAGCTTGTCAGTCTCCCTTTCTGCCCGTGCCGGCCTTCATTCAGTCCCCAAAGGTCAACTCTCCTTCGTGCATCACGCCCTTACCACACACTGCTCCCTCTGCCTGGACACGTGCATTCCTCCGTCACCTGCTCCTCCGTCAGAGTCACTCAGTCACACTTCTGAGGGAAGCCTACTAGCTCAGGTCCCTTTATTACATGCTCTCCCTCATTTTCTTGGTACTTAGTACATTCATAATTTCATTTGTCTAATTTGATGATAAGCATTAATCTTCCTCCCTAGCTTTGTTTGTTTGGTGCTTTTTTTTTTTTGGTTTTTGGTTTTTTTCTGGTACTAGGAATCGAACACATGACCTTGCGCTTGCCAGGCAGGCACTGTGCCACTGAGCTAAATCCCCAGCCCCTTCCCTCCCTAGCTTTGATAAGCTCTGTAATAGCTCTTAAATTTATTTTCTCCTCACCGTCATGTTCCTAGCTCTGATGCAAGGCCTGGCTTGTGGCTGGGACTCAAGGGATACCCTGCTGAGTGCCCTGGGATGGTGAGCATTCGGGGAGCAGGGAGGAGTCGCCCAGCTCCACAGCACTGGAAAGGTACCTGCCGATCAAGCAGGGGCTGCACGGTCTTGGGGAAGCCACAGACACAGAAGCCACAACTGCTTCAGCTTGTCCAGGCTGGGCACCAATCACCATTGTGCTTCTGACATTGCCGGTGTCCTCTTTGCTACCAAAATATTTCCCCTCCGCACCCGTGTGTGTGTGTGTGTGTGTGTGTTTTACTGGAGAGTGAACCCAAAGCCTCGCATCTACTAGGCAAGCTGCATCCCAGCCCATTTTATTTTGAGACACAGTCTAGTTAAATCACCCAGGCTGTACTTGAGCCTTGCGATCCTCCTACCTCAGCCTCCCAAGTAGCTGGGATTACAGGTGTGTGCTACAATGCCTGGGTTCTTCTTCTGCTCTTTTAATAAAACATTTTGAAAAAGACCAAGCAAGATAAATGGAGCCCTCACTGCAGTGGCCAACAGCACAGGCTGTGACTCTAAGCTGTGGAACCTTACCCAACCTGTGGAGCAAGGCCTGAATTACAAGCGCCAAAGAGCTGACCCTGAGCCTCTGTCCTGTGGCCTTCACAGTCCCAGGACATCTCTGGCTATGGATTCGCCTGTAGAGCAACTGCAGAGCCTCAGAATCTGTCCTCTCCCCTCTGTTCTTACCCTTTGCACTTTGGTAAGAAGAACCGTGAAGCCTGAGGGCTGAGCCCGGGGAACCAATGTAGGGGGACTGCAGCAACCTCGCACAGTAATTCTGAGTCCCTTCCACGAAATGGACAATAAGGCTGTGCACAAGCAAACGCTGGTTAGAAAGCCAGCGGGGGCTTCTTTGTGTGTTCTTTCTTCTGCTCCTAGTGACCACTGCCAGGGCTTTGCCATGAGCAGCAGCAGGCCCTCTGTGCAGGTGGGCTGTGTCAGATCAGGGCGTTTTCTGAACAGGGGCGCCCAGAGTGGTTCTGCCACACCGTGGGACCACCTCTTTAGAAGGTCCTGGCAAAGGCTACTGTGTCTGCGCTTAGGCGATGTGTCAGCATATGGCAGGTTACTGTGGGGCCGAGAAGGAAGGAGCGATGGAGGGTGTGAGCCAAACATGTCACAGTGGAGGCTCCCAGAGGAGAGTTATTAGCTGTGCTCTGACAGCAGGTGGCATTTGTTCTTAACAAATGCGCCAACTCCTGGTTTTGCCTTGGAAACTGAAGAACAGCACTGCCCTAGTTCTGATCTTTTCAGGAACGGGGGAAAAGGAGGAGGTGGAAGCCGGGGACTACTGAGGAGCAGTGGCTGAGCATCTGTCCCCAGAGCCTTACCAGTGAGTGCTCCTGCTCAGAGCCCTGCGAGGGAAGCACAGCCTCAGCTCTGGGGAGCTGTAGGTCAGCTTGAGCCATCGCCTTCCAGGGCCTGGCATTTGGCTGCTGAAATTACAAAGATGTTTGAAGCATGCTTCAGTGGCCTGGGGTTTCTTGTTCCTCTCTGGGAACTTCTGACAATAAAGAAGCGATAAGCCTGGTACAAGGAGTGTGTGTGTGTGTTGTGTGTGTGTGTGTGTGAGTGAGTGTAAAGTAACTGTAGGCATGAAACTAAGATCATTCCACATTCCTGCTGACATTAAGGGCACAAATTACTCAGACCAAAAAAGAATTTGAAGGCTTGGGAGTCAGAGATTTAGTCATCAAATACTTAGTTAGCTTCTTATGGGGCCAAGTTACTTAAGTTCCCAAAAGCTACAGTCTCTGCAAGGGTAAATGGGAATGTATTGGGCCCAGCTCCCAGGAAACTTACGCAGGAGAGGGGAGGAGCAGGCCTCAGCAGGGAGCAGCTGGGATGATCAGGTACAAGACCTCAGCCAAGTTCACGAGGAGCACCATGGATGGGCTTCCAGAGCTGTGCCAGGCCTTTGGACCTCACCCAGAATCTTCCATCTACCAGCTGCTGGGTGCTGGCTGCCCTGGGGTGAGGATACAACCCTGGTTAGGGACACTCAGTGGAAGCTTCCAGCTTCCCCTGGTCCCACCAGCCGAGGAGGCCTGGACACCGCAGCCATGCCGCAGGGCTGCCATGAGGGGGTTACAGATGTAACTTGCGCCATCGGTTAACATATAAAAACAGCAGCCAACTAACCTACGCATCTCTGCCAGCCTCATCCTCGGAACGCAGTGGGACTGTGTTTTTAAAGTTTTCAGCTGGCCTTATACTCTTTCCCATGAGGGGCAAAAAAGCTTTTGTGTTTCAAATTCATTTATGAGGAAGATGCAGCACTGTCCTAGCCCAGAGGATATAGAAGCAAGCTTGGAGTTGGCAGGAGGAAGTGGCCCTGACTTTAAAGTGTGGGGTGAGAGAGGAAGAGGAATTCCCAAAATCTACTGAAAGAATCAGTGGACATGGGCTGTGGGACTTGTGAGCGTTGGCCTCATCTTTTGTTTAGGAGGCCCCCAAGTGGTCTGCGCATTTGGGAGGGGGGAGATGGGCACTGTGAGTTGCTGCTTTGGAAATCTCAGAGAAAATCCCCTGGGCTGGTGCCTGGCACAGAGTTGGCTGAGCAGCCAGCGTCCAGACTGCTCAGAATCATCAAAGGATGGATAGATCAGTCGTGAGCCTTTTATGCACATCTGAGGCTGCAGAAGACTCCTCCGGGACTTCCATAGCATCTAAGGAGGGCAAAGCTCCCTCGTCACTGAGGTGGACTTTACTAGCCAGGTGGTCCCAGAGTGGTTTTCCTGATTCAGAGGAATAAACAGCATGAAGTACATTTTATAGGGTAAATCTTGTATCCATGTCACGTATTTTGCAAATATTTAGGATTTAGTAAGCACACAATGGAAAATCTGTTCCTTCTCTTTCCTATTTCCTTTTCATAGGGATCTACCTAAATCTTGCAACCAGCTGAAAACCTTTCCTTGTTAAAAACAAAATCAGGAACAAGCCAGGGGAGGATAAGCTGCTCTGTTGGCTGATCAAACATGAACATTGTATTTATTATGTTAGGTTCCTACTAAGATGGTAAACTTCTCAGGCTGCTTCCTAATCAACACCACAGAAACAGAAGCAAGAGGGGAACGTACATTTGGGGAACAAAAACAACAAGTAAAGGAACAAGAACCCGTAAGCCTCTGGGAAGATTGTCTTGAACTGCTGCACATGGGTAGAGGCACTGAGGCCCCGGGGTGAAGGATCCAGAGACAGCAGTGAAGATGCTGATCATAGAAAAGCAACGCTCAGAGGGCTGCCCTTGCGTGTCCCCAGAGAAGCCTCGTGACAGCGTGGCCTGCCCTTTCAGTACAAAGCATCCTCGTCAGAGTCTGGACTACTGGTGTGCAGCTGTGTGCAGGGCAAATTTGTGGCAGCACAAAAAGCCCCGTGGAGAGCAGCAATGATGAAAGCACTGTCAACTGAACAACTAACTCCCTGGAGGCATCTTCACCTCCTCTCTCCACACAGCCCAAGACAGGGGTTCCCTCCTGTTGCTCCTGCTTAGCCTACAGGGTTAACTAGGAAACCTTGACCAGAGTTGTCCGGCCACTCCAGGCTGACAGCCTAGAGGATCAGATGTGATACCTTGGCATGTGGGACTCTCCATCAGCAGCCCAAAGCTCCACTGGTCGTTTCCAATATGTGGTAGAGTAGAGGACCTGCCCCCAGGTAGAGGAAGCGAGAGCAACAGAAGGTCGCAAGCAAAATAACTACAGCAAGACAAGTACCAGATAAATAAATAAACTGTTTTCCATTGCTATGACTAATTATCATCGACCAGGAAATTTATAAAGAAAAGAAATTTATTTCTTAGAATTTTGGAGGCTGAGAAGTATAGGTGAAGGTAGGTAGAAGGGCCACTTCCTGAGAGCTTCTTGTTGATGGGGACCCCTTGCAGACTCCCAAGGGAGTGCAAGACAGCACATGGTGAGGCAGAGCAAGCTCACTAGCTTGGGTCTCTCATCCTTTTCTTATAAAGCCACCGGTTGCTTTGGG